TCCAATTCCCCTTTGGGGCATTAGTCACTGTAACTAATATTCACATCACATTTTAATGTAACCTCTGTCAGTTCTTAGAATAACATTTGTGCAGCAATGAATTTTACTAAAAAGACACAAAGTAGACTGCAAAACCTATTTATTACAATGTCACTAATGTGAGTCATTCACTTGGTAGGTACTTAGTGGGTGCCTAAAATAAAACCATTCCAGGAGAGTAATATCTTTCAGTGTTTCACAAACACTGAGATTCCACAATATGTAAGGTATTAAGAGATACAAATTCTTTCAGAGGCTTTACTCCCTATATAGAGGCATGACATTAAACCAAGACTAATTAAATAATAATACAGGAGATGTCACAAAGAAGTTTCTAGTGATGAGAATGATGATAAGGCCTGTAATTTTTTAAGATCAATCTTTGAAGCAATCACAAAGGACTTCATGGAAAAAAATACCAAGTCTTTTTTTTTTTTTTTTCCTGGTGTTGGGGATTGAACTCAGGACTTGGTGCATACTTGGCATACATTCTACCACTGAGCTACCAAGCCCAGCCCCAACTGACAGGTCTGGAAAAAACTGAGAAGATAGAAATGAAAGAGGAGAGCTCTCACAAAGGGTCAGAGACAAGTAAGTGAAGATCTCCAGACGTGCTGGAGTGAGAGGTGAAGTCTGAAGAGTGATGTCCTAGAACACCAGGCCACGGGAATTGGCTCCGCCCTGAACATCATGAGAGGAAGCTACCTAGAGTAGAGTGATGTGGTGGCCTTAATTCCTTGATTTGGAAAGTCAGTTCTTCATCTTAACATCTTCTGAAATCTCTTGTTACAGACTTTCAATTTACATTGGAAGCTCAAACTGTTTTGCCATCCTTACTTACATCCTTCTTGCTCACTGAATGACATCCCTGTGCAGAAATTGGACTAGTAGTAATATCATTCTGTTATAAATTCAGATACAGAAATTGCAAAATTAAAGGTTCCAGTAATGGAGCCAGAATTTTTTCCTCAAATGTCTCGGTTGCTGTTTTGAAATGGTCTCACTATGTTGTCCAGGCAGGTCTCAAACTCCTGGGCTCAAGTGATCCTCCTGCCTCAGCTTCTCAAGCAGCTGGGGTGATGTGTTGGGCTCTAGAATGACTTGATTAAGACCATTCAGTGAGGTTCCTTTTGCTAGTATTTTTGTCTCAATGACTTTTCATGTTACAAAACAAACAAAATTGGAGACATTTTGAAAGTAGAAATAAAATCCTATAACCAAATTATAAACATAACAATTTAAATTTTACCATGTCTTCCCAGTCATGTAAAATGCAGGTTTATTTTTACCCGGTTGCAATAATATTGAATATAATATAACATAGAATATAATATTCTATGTTAAGCAATATACTACAAAAAATTAAGATGATTATTTTCATAGTGACTATTTTAAAATTTGTATAAACACCTTGGAGTAGATTTACTAAATTTAATCATACCTCTGTTAAGATGTTTTCTATTTTCCCCTGATTTGATTAGTGTTTTCCATCTGATATGTCAGTGGTATTCTGATAGACAGCTGGATTAAGGTGTAACATCATGTCAGTCCTTTTGGGAGGTAATGGGTGTGGGCAGGGGTAAGTTAAAGCCCCCAGACTTGTAGCCTCTTCTTAGCTGATTACTTCAGTGGACTGTATGAATATCATTTTCTATAATTCGACCCATTTCATTGTATGAAAACAATTGGTATGCTGTTTTGAAATGGTCTCACATTGATGTACTAATTTGTCTTCAACTTGTATTACTATTACTTGCTATTGAATTTGGGGTATATTTACAATTGTGTTTTAATTAATTTTAACATAGTACTTGCACATAATTAAATTTGAATAGTATAGAAAGGAAAGGAGTAGTAGTAAATCCCCCTCGAACTTCAGGTTTTCTCTTCCTTTCTACAGAACCCAACAGTCATTAGTTTCTTATGCATTCTTCTAGAGATATCTGAAGGAATGTGTACACACATATGCATGTATGTCTTGATGAACAACATTAAAAATATTTACTACTGGCACAAACAACAAGAAGGAAAGTCATGGTATATGGGATATGTCTGAGTGCACACTGCATGTTATCAGGCTTGCATGAGGTCCTTACTTTTATACATTAATTTGTCCTTGGCTTGTTTCATCTAGCAATGTGATCTGGAGATGGTTCCACATCAGCACATGTAAAGTGACTTCATTCTTTTCAGTGGGTCTGTATTTTAGCCACTTCCTATAGATGAACCTTTAGGTTGTTCCCAGCTTTTTGTTACTAAAATGGTTTTCCAACAAATATTCTTACACAGTACGAATTTATCTGTGGCTTCAATGTCTACACAAAGAATTACTGGGTAAATAGTATATACATATAAAATTATGATCAACTTTATTAAATTTCCTTCCAAAGGTTTACTGTTTTGTTTTCACCAACAATGTATATGAGGGCCTATTTCCCAAACCCAGGCTAACTCAATATATCTGTATCAACCTAGAAGATGGAAAAATGGTGTCTTGCTGATTTTTTTTTTTTTTTTTTGGAAATACTGAGGATTGAACTCAGGGGTACTTGATCACTGAGCTACATCCCTAGCCCCTATTTTTGATTTTATTTAAAGGGTCTTACTGAGTTGCTTAGCACCTTGCTTTTGCGGAGCCTGCCTTTGAACTATCAATCCTCCTGCTTCAGCCTGTTGAGCCACTGGGATTACAGATGTGTGCCACTGCACCTGGCTGTTGTCTTGTTGATTTCATTTATATTTAAGATTAAATTTTAAGTTTTGAATCAAAATTTTCTCTGCAATTGGAGCACATGTAATCAATGAACTTAAGGCAGAATGTCATGGTTTAAAAATTAGGTGTCCCCCAACCTCTCATGTGAGACAATGCAAGAAGGTTTAGCGGTGAAATAGTTGGGTTATGAGACCCTTAACCCAATCAGTGAATTAATCTCTGATTAATTGGGATTAACTGGGTGGTAGCAGTAGGCAGGTAGGGTATGGCTGGAGGAGGTAGGTCATTGGGGGTGTGCCTTTGGGGTTTATATTTTGTCCCTAGCCAGTGAAGTCTCTCTGCTTCTTAGTGCCATGTTCTCAGCTGCTTTCCTCTGCCACACCCTTCCACCATGTTCTTCTGCCTATTCTCCAGCCCAGAGCAAGGAGTGGGCCATCTATGGACTGAGATTTCTGAAACCTTAAGCCTCAAAATAAATTTTTCCTCCTCTAAAATTGTTCTCAGGTCTTTTGGTCACAGCAGTGAAAAAGCTGACTAAAACATATAGATACTAGAGGTGAAACACTGGGGAGAATAAATCCCAAACAAAAGCTGGTTGAGAGTATTTGCTCAATGATGAGGATAGAGATAATGTTTAATTCCTTGCTCTTTGCCAGTTCCCTTCCATCTCCACTGGGCAACATTTGGAATTGTGAGTTAGGAGAATGTATGGCAAGCTTGAGCCTTGTTCGAAGGGTACGGAAATCTAGCGACAGTTTGGTAGAGTCAGAGAGACCTGGGAAAATAACAGAGAAAAAAAAATATAACAAGACTTTAAGGACTATTTGATCTAGAAGAGGCTTAAAGAAATCCGTTGCTCCATTAACCATTTTTTGGTATTCTGCATTTCATTCCTTAGCAGGTTTTACTGAATGTCCATGCCTTGAAAGGGTGTTGGATGGGCTGGGGTTGTGGCTTGGTGGTAGAAAGCTTGCCTAGCACATGTGAAGCACTGGGTTCCATCCTCAGTCCAGGACACAATGCCTTTATTTTATTTATTTATTTTTAAGTGGTGCTGAGGATCCAACCCAGTGCCTCACACGTGCTAGGCGAGCTCCCTACCACTAAGCCACAACCCCAGTCCACCCAACACACTTTTATGTGTGTATACATACATGTATATGTAGAAAGGCAACCTCAATGGAATTGAACCAGTGTTGTAAGAGTTTTTTTTTTTTTTTTTAAGAAAATGATAGTTCCCCCGAGGCATGATCTGTTCACAAATAATTAGCTCCCCAACCCAACCCCACTCATCATTTATTTTTTGAAGAAATGGTTGAGCAAGCCAGGAATATGTATGTCTACCCATAAGATCCTCAAATCAGGCCACTGAATATTCGACTTGTACACCTTGAATCACACAGAAGATATTCGAAAGGTAGAGAAAAATATAAAACCTCCTCCACCCTGAAATCCTGACCTCCCCTAGCAATACGTAAGAAAAACCTGTATTATTGCAAACCATACTGCTGTATGGTACTGCTGTGAGTACTGAGTTCATTCTATTCTATTTTCTTTCTTTCTTTCTTTTTTTTTTTTTTTTTGAGCTTTGGGTGTTAAAAAGTGAGGAGTAAGCCTTATTGAGGTAATACCCAAGAACGGGGCACAAACATGGATTTGATCCATTATGTTCCAGGTTTGCACATCGAGTCCCACCCCGACCAAGTCACCTCTTCTCTCTCTCTCGTTTTTTGTAAGCTTCAGTCCTGCTCTTTGTGTTGGCCTCCTTGGAGCTGTCCCCTGGCAAGCTAGGGATTCAGGATCGAAAACACCGCGGTGGTGGCCCGCCGCAGCCGCTGGCGTGGGCGAGAAGCCCGATGCATTCCCGCGGGGCGTTATGGCTCCCCGCCGGCTTGGGGATCCCGCTCCGCCGTCCCGGGGAACCCTCCGGCCCCCGCCGCTGAGCCGGGCCGGGCGCAGAGCCCCCTCCAGCGCCCCCTCCCCGGCGCGCTGCGGCTGGCGCTCCCCAGCGCCCCGCCTGACGCTGCAGCTGGGCCGGCGACTCGCCATTGGATTAAAAATAGCAGCGTCCCCCTAGCCCGGGGCCCCGGTGCCCGCTCCCGCCCCGCGGCCAGTTCAACCCGCTCTGCCCGCCCGCCCTCCCCGGCTCGGCTCGCGTCTCCCGCGCAGCCCGCCCGCCCGCTGGCGCCGCGGCGGCCGGCAGACCCCGCGCTGCGGCCCGGCTCTGCTCGGCTCTGCTCGGTGCGCGCCGCGGCCATGCAGCGCCGGGGCGCCCTGTTCAGCATGCCGGGCGGCAGCGGCAGCAGGAAGATGGCTGCAGGAGACATCGGCGAGCTTCTGGTGCCCCACATGCCCACCATCCGCGTGCCCAGGTCCGGGGACAGGGTCTACAAGAACGAGTGCGCCTTCTCCTACGACTCCCCTGTAAGTGAGGAGCCTCCGGGAGGGTCGCGGTGCCGGCGGCCTGGGGCGGCCGCGAGCCGCGGACCTCGGCTGCAAGTGAGGCAGGGGAGAAGATGCGCAGCGGCGGCAGGGGACCTCCTCCTCCTGCCGGAGCGGAGTTGGCTCGGGGGGCACTGCAGTTCGGCAGCCACTTAAGGAGCGCCCCAAGGCTGCTGCCGCCGAAGACGGGGTCGCCAGAGTGGTCTGCTGCGCTGGGTTGCTAGGCTGCAAGGGCCCCGATCCCCAGCTGCCTTCCCACAGCCCCGCCACTGTTTGAAAGATAGATGGAATCAAAGAGTGAGTTCCCTGCTCTGAGCTGCACGTTGCAGATCGTTTGCGCCCTCCCTGGGGTGAGAGTCGGGGGCGGGTAGGTGGTAGGGATCGATCCCGTACCCCCTAAAACACAGCATTTCTCTTCCTGGGACCCTTTGCTTTGCCCCGGGATTCCCACTCCTGGACAATTCTCATGTCCTCTGAGCTTTTCTCCTTCCACTTTCCATTTCTCTCCACTGTTTCTTGGCATTAGAATGTCAGAGAAAATCTGGATGTCTCCACTTGGGCAGCAGAGATGGGGGTCTACTGGATTATGATGGTTTTCTTAAGCCTTTCTTCTTTTCCCTTCTAAATGAGTCACTTGGCTGACGTGCGCTAGTATAAATTATTAAAAGTTCAATCCCGAGTCGTGACCTCAGAGACTGGAGGGGAAGTTAACGACGCATCACCGCCCTCCACCCAGGACGGCTGTTGGTAGTTTTCACCTGGTTGTAAGTGGATGTGTGAGAACTAGAAGGAGGGTGAATTGTCCCTTTTGGGAGTCAAGATGGGCTTCAAAGTGACTCAGCTGTCTGGCGTTTATCATGTCTTTTTGAGGACCGGGTTATTTTTATCCACCCACTTTAGATCTCATGTGTCACCCAGCAGATCTCAATGCATGGGGAGGTGCATGGATTGGAGGGAGAGGCGGTCTCACAACAATCCAACACATTTTATTCATAGTATGTAGAGTATCCTTGAAGGAAAAAAAAATAACACACACACAAAAAACAAATGAGTGCAAAATTTCCAAAGTTTCCTTTATTACTTTGTGGGTTCATATGGTTGGTTTCAAAGCATTATTGTTTGGTATGCATTGGACTCCCAGAATTATTATCCTTTCTCTGATGTTTAGTTTTTCTTTTGTTATTCCAGGTCATTTGGGGATAAAATCTAACTTACTTTTTTTTTTTTTTCCTTTCAAAAAGATCCATGCAGAGAGGAGTGGAGTGGTTGTGTTTAAAACAGGATATCATGATCCCAGTACTCACAGTGACCATCAGCAGTACCAGTGCTTCCTGTTATCCACAAAATATTTGAGAATGTCTTGTGCAGATTGGCCAGTCCAGTTTTGGGCAGAATACACTAATAGCCCCTGAGAGTGGAGAACGATGAGGGTCAATTGCTAACTAACTTAAGCAATTGACAAGCCTTGAACTCTAGGAAGAAGAAAGTCTTTTAGGATTGTAGACGAGTTTCTTCATGTTTGATTTGGATTGCTCTTCAAGATTAGACTTTTTTATTGGAGAAACTTGTTATAAAGTATATGGCAGGTGTGAGAAAAAGCTGATTGTTTTAATTAACTTCTACAAATGGTACTGGGAATTTACTGTGTGCCAAATGCTGTTCTAGAAACATCTTGTCCAGTATAAAATGATGATTTCATTTGTATCACAGTAGTTCCTTGGGGGAGAGTAGGATTACTTACAAGTCTGATGAATCATTATATTTCATTATCTGTGTTCCGGGGAGGAAGAGAAGGAAGGTTTTATACTAGGTATCTTAAAGCACAGTGCCTGATAATGTGAGGTATTTCCTTGTGGCACTTTCTTAACATTCGGTTGTGAATCCATTACACATTTCTTGAGCAACTGCTGTGTGCGAGCTCATACATGCATGGCTAAGAACCATTCAGAGTGAAGTTCATTGGTGCCATGCACATCAAAATGTTTTTAATTTACAAGAACTGTGGGACTATGGTAGAGAAAGGCAAAAACAAGTGAAAAAAATTCATCCTTGTATTGGATACTGGTGAGAAAGTTCATAGATAAAGATGGATAGAAAATCAAGAAGACCAGCATTCTAGGGAAGGAAAATTACATGTGCAAGCATATCAAGTATGAGTATCTTCTTATTATTTGCCTAGATTGTTTTTAAAAGAAAAAGAATGAATTGACAAGTAAGAAGAAGTAAGCTCAGAATCAAAAAGAGAGTAGATGGGGAAAGAGAGATGATGGGGAAAGTGTTTGATCTTGACTTTTTTGTGTGTGTGTGCTGGGGACATGCACTTGCTAAGTGCATTGAACCTAGAACATGTACTTGCTAAGCACCCACTATGCCACTGAGCTATATCCTCAGTACCTGATATTGTTTTTATATAGTCAGTTACAGAAAGCCACTCTAACTAATGAGGTTTAGAGTGGGATTGGAAGAAGACTGAAGCAACAAATTTTTATTATGTTTTGGGTACAGTGTGAAGACCTCTGCTATTCTTCACATGGTGGGATGTATTGAATGGAACAGCATGTAACTATTTTCAGTATTATTCTGCTTGCTTCCCACCCACCTTCTAGGGCTTGGTATATAGCAGGTGCTCCAAAACAGCTACTTTGGAATGAGGAAGAATTTGATTTTTCACCTACCTTTGTTCACCTCTCTGATTTGGTTTTCTCCTGAGCTCTGTAATCCACTTCCCATCTGAGCATCTTTTAAAACATTCAATTCAAGTGGTTCTTCCTCTTGGAGTCATTTCCATAGTGCCCCCCACTAGACCCCATAAGCATCTCTATTGAACCACACGCTTATGTCTACCTTTGAGTGTGACCATTCCCAAGGCTAGGTCTTTTTCTTATTCGCACCAGCTGGCATCTATACCAGGATCTCAGATGTTTAGGAAACATACAAATTACATGGGTGACATAGTCTGTAAATGGTGAGGGTACAACACATGGGAAATGCAGGGAAAGGAATCATGTGAGATGATCACATAGAATGTGGTGACTTCATTGATTATTGGGGGGACAACTGTGAAAGAGACAGCCAAACTAGCAGGGATCCAATTCTGATTCTGTCACCCAGATGGGTTACTCCTCTGGGTCCCAGTTTCTCCATGGATAAAACGGAGACCATAACAGAACTTAACTCAAGGAGGTTGTTCTGTGGATTAAATAATTTAATATGTAAAGTGTGCCTGGCTGATAAGTAGTCACTATATATATTTGATTTAAAAAAGAAAAGAAGTTGGGGGGGAGAGAGAAGGAAGAATGAAGGGAGGGAGGGTGGGAGGAAGGAAGGAAGGGAGAAAAGGAGTCAATTGTAAGTTGTGAGCCCAAGAATTTGATTGTCATATGTTATGTAGAAAGTTTCATGTGGTTCATTGAAAGTGGTTCACCCTTGTACTAACAGACCACCATGAAAATCTACTCTCATTTCTTGGCTGCACCTCTTTCGTGTCGAGGTTGCCAGCTCTGGTGAGACCCATCTATGACTCTTCCACACTTGAGACTCCTTTCCTTTTCTAAGGCCCTTCCTCTCATCATTATTTTTCAAGGCTCTGTTTCCTCCTCCCCCCATCCCGCCCCTTTAGACTTCATCCTTTCCTCTCAGTGCTTGTATTGCTTAGAGTCTGTGTCATATAATATAGCAGTTATAGTCTATCTTCCCTAGTTGGCTCTTCTCTTATTTGCTTTCCCCCATTTAATTCTTATTTTTAAAGCATTTCCTAGGTGTGAGTCTCCGTAGCAAGCATCTCAGGCTGCTCAGGAGCCTGCCACTCTGGTGCTGGTCACACCCCCTTGCCGTCTGTGTTCTGTGGACTGCTAACTATCTCAGCTGGGTCAGCTGGAAACGTGGATGTTGAAATAGTGCTTTAGAGCAGGCAGTTTATTTTGGAAAGATGTCCTCAGAAATGGAATAGTGACCAAGGGAATAGTGACAAAGAGAAGGAAGGAAAGCCACTCCAAGAGTAAGCTACAGAGTTGGTTTCCGCAGTATGCAACTGGTGCTTAATCCCTCAGGGAACTGTGGAATGTTTCTCAGAGTCCTCCACTTGAGATATGGAAGAGGGAGATATTTATCTACTGGCTCCCATCCCCCACTGGGCAAGTGTTGCTCCAGGAGTGCAAAGGCCCTCACTCTTCCAGGTTTGAGGTTGTGCCCAGAAGGCTGAGTAGGATCTGCAGGCTTCGTATGACCACCAGCAGCTGAGCAGCAAGAGCTCCTGGGTGCAGCTGAGGCTAGGGCTGTTGGGCCACACCTGTTGTGACAATCATCTGCACACAGTGGCTATACCAAAATGGTGGTCCAAAGAGATATGAAACTCAGTGTAGAGTACCTCCAATACCTCTTTCTCCCTTCCAGCATCTGGGCTATTTTCTAAGAAGCACCCCGAACCCCAGTTCTCTGAACCCCAGTTCTCTGGATTGCTAATGTTGAAATGTCACGGTTGGTTCTCATCTTTCTTGGGATTCTTTGCAAAACTAGTGGTCAGAGTTCTGGTGGTCATGACTGGTTTAGGTACACATGAGGAAAGGCTTTGAGATCTCCATCTGCTTATGGGAAAACTTTATGTTAGGAGTTCAGTAAGTCCTTCTTTCTGTCTTTTCCTCCACAAATATGTATACTTTTTATATGCCTGGTATTATCTCAGGCATTGCTAGCAATAATGGCAGCTCAATAGTTCCTCATTTCCCTTCTTCCTTGCTCCTTGTAAACACTTTCCATTTTCTCTCTGTATGGCTTTACTTATTCTAGGTACCTCATCTAAGTGGAATCACTCAGTGTTTTACCTTTAGTGTTTGGATTATTCCACCCAGCATGATGTGTTCCAGGTTCATCCATGTTATAACGTGTTTCAGAACTTTATTCCTTTTTAAGGTTGAATAATATTCCTCTGTGTATATGTGTCGCATTTTGCTTATCCATTCATCTGTTGTAGAATATTGAGATAT